AACGGAAAGGTACAATCAGAAGAAATCTTTCAGTTAAGTAAGATACAACCACTTTTACGAAGAAAGTAAAAGAAGGTTACAACAGGATTGCTTCTATTCTGAGCCATATCTGATAACGTCTCTAGCCACTGTGTTGCACCATCTCTTGGACCCCCACCAGGGAGTCGAGAAGGACCAACACAAGCCAATCCTTTGCAGCCTCCTTTCATGCCACGACACCATGTCATACACTGACCACATCTCCGCTCTCTCCAACAAGTCCCAGCGTCCGCAAATAATGCACGACGAGGAATTCTCTGGGACGACATTCGTAGAACATATCCAAGCCACCGAAGTCGGTGTTTCAAGATGGTGACACCGATTGGATTATCGTCTCTCTGCCCGAACACACGATGCCGAACCTCTGCATTACTAACATGGTGTTGCCACTGGATGTCAGCAATGCTTCGGAGACAGCGATGATCGAACACAGAGAGTCTTCTAACGTCCTCAACTCGGAGAAGCCAGGTTTCAAAAGCATAGAGCAAAACTGCTCTCACCGACGCGTTGTAGATCCGACCTTTTACAGCCAGACTAACATCACGGAGGTGCCAAAGATGGCCCAGGTTGGCATAAGGACTCTGGCTTTCACTATACGTGCATTGATATCATCACTCACACCCCCAGCAGCGCTTATACACCTACCTAGATACACGAACTTCTCGACTACTTCTATCTGCTCACCATCCAGGGTGAGTACAGGATTAGAATCCTGCCAGTCTTGTAGAAGTACTTTGCACTTCGGAGGTGCAAAGCACATACCATACCTACGGACAATGATTGCCAACTGATTAAGTGCGGATTGCATGTCTTGTGGATTATCGCACAGTAAGACAATATCATCCGCATACTCAAGGTCGAGAAGTCTTCCTCCAGGCAATAGATCTACACCACCATTACTTACATCCATCAGAGCTGTCTCCAGAATGTCGTCGATGGCAAAGTCGAAGAGGAATGGTGAGATCGGGCAACCCTATCTAACCCCACTGCTCGAATGGAAAAATGGAGAAAGGTGATTGTATGCCCTCACTCTGCCTGAGGTGTTTGTATATAGGGCTTTTAGGATGTTAATAAACTTCTCAGGCACATCCTTCTTCAATAGACAATCCCAGAGAACAGACCTATTCAACGAATCGAAGGCAGCCCCGATGTCAAGAAACATTACGGTTGTTGGCCTTTGATAAGTATGGCGGTGTTCTAACATTTGGCGGAGGGTGAATATATGATCAGTACATCCTCAACCAGAACGAAACAATGAGTTAGCTATATTTTGTAAATTATTAAAAGCGTTAAGTAGTAATCATAATTTAAAAGTTTTCAAAGGAATTATAAATCATTTCTGATCTGTCCTATATGCATTAAAGCTGATTTGTTTGACCCCAAATGCCTTGGTACGAACGCAGGGTGAAGAGGGTCCGCTCTTGCTCTCCAAAGGCTCTCACATGGCCAAGTGCATACAACCACTGACAAGGAAGTCCTATTCATTGCCTTCTCAAGGCGGTGTTGTTTATGAAATTGAGAAGACGAAAAACGAATGTCCATCGCTTTAATCGGTTTAGTGAATATGATGATCCACTTAGTGGAGTTGGAAAACCCTAATTCCAAACCAATGATGCACATGGGCTCAAGGACCCTTAGGGAACAAATGGCATATGAACCTATTGTCGTTCACTAGTTGCCATGGGACTGTATCTCCTAATGTTGCTCCACAGCCTTATGGATTAGACGTCTAGGCCAAAGAGCCGGAGTGTGGTCCCCGATCACTATATATATATATATATATATATATATATATATATATATATAAATGAAGCAGCTCAAATCAATAGATTATCGAAGAAATCTTTTCAAATCTGATGTCTACTAGTGTAGACTATTAAAAGTATAGCAGAATTATTCTTTTACAGAGAGATCTCAAATGTCGGGTTTTAGAACCTCTGTTAAAATACCCCATTGAAAGTGCTTTAAGTTGCTTATACGTTGGTGTCTACTTAGCCTATCGTCTTGACCTAGGATTCATTTCAATGAAAATTGAAGGATAGTCATTCCTGAAAAGTACTGTGTAGTTAATTTTGTTCTTAGTAAAGGTTTCGTCCTTGCCATAAACAAGTAACAAACAGAGTTCCCGTAAATAACACTTCACTATATACACCAATAATAAATACAGGTCAAGAGAGGGAAAGACCCAGTATTTGGTAGATCATACAAATAGCCATCTGAAATATTTCAAAAAGAAACTCAATACACAGTATCCACAGTTTTTGAAGGTGAGATGACGATTTACGATTGATCTGAGACGACGTATCGTTTTATAATAGGAAGTATGGAAATTACGAATTATTGACTTAGGTGGTTTTATAGTCAACGAATTTTTGGCACACTTATAGAAAGCTCCCTCATTATTTGTCAAATCAAGTCGTATATAGCATTATGGGAATATAGAAATACCAGAGTGAGTAAATTGCAGAACAATTCACTCTATGGTACTACATGATTGAAATATTTGTGTTTAAGAGTCTCTTCGAAGGATTAATCGTGTATCTTTAATTCATATAGGGAGAAAAGATGATGAAATGAGAGAGGGTTTCCAGCATTTCGATTAAATTAACTGAAGAGATCGTGAACATACACCCACCCAAGTATTGCAGGAGCCGGAATGTATTCAACAGTACTGGTTTTCGTCTACTTAGGTTACCCAAGATCCCTCTATCTATATTACAAGAGAAAAGATTGTAAAGCCTGATGGTATTCATACTGTCGAGTTAATAGCCAAACGAATACCCAACAGTGATACGAGATACTTTACAAAATAACAGTTTTTCACTTGTCGTTATACTGGAAGAATCTAGGTTCATTCACATTAAATGGTTAAAAATGAAGAGACTATTAAAAAGAGTTTTCTAAACGATGACGAGATAACCCCTTAATAACCAATGTTTTTTGAAGCGAGCAAGAATAACTAATAATAGTAAATACACTTAGATGATAATAACAAATTACATCACGAACTGATCTTAGTTAAACAGCTTTTGAAAACCAGAAAGCAATGAACTGTTTTGTCGTAGTCTAAAACTTAACAACAGTTAGTAGCAACAACCCCATGGGAGATTTAAACCAAAATATTCGGTTCATGGTGCAAACACTCAACCTCTAGATAATTGAGCTGGCGTCTATTAGTTTATATTGTCTAGCTTAAATCAGTTCGTGATATTGTTTATTATTTCCAGGTCTTTAGCTAAGATCATTTTATGATGCAAAACCAATGGGCTACAACAATCTTCATAAAAGCCCTTTATTAACAGTGATTTACTTAACTTTTAAGTTGGCTGACTTCATTTATTTTTCTCTCATGATTAGTTCACATAAAAGATTTAATTTTTTAAGTATAAAAGGACGATGATAAGGGTACAACATATGAAGGGCATCCATTTAATAGAGCAAGTGAAAGGTGTGCACTCTAATAAAGGCGATCATCAGAAAGGTGCGCATTAATTGGGAATAGATTATATCTTAGCTGTTCGAAATTGACATGACTATAGTAACAACAATAACAATTTGTTACGGAATTCGAAAAATTACAGTATTTGCTGAAATACGGAAAATACGGTTTTAGTTTATCGTGAGGTATAGGGAAGGAGGGTAAATCGAATATATTTCACGCCGGTGAAAATGTTATTACCCCTTTCAATGCTGAGCTTTATTAATATGAGCCTTATTGACAGTCACCCTTATTAACATGTGTCTTTTTTATACGCACTGTTTTTCACCCGCCATCTTCATAATCACTCTTCTGCTTGCACTTTTATTAACAGTAAAATGTAATTATTTTGAAAAGTTTGCATGATATTTAGGACTGAATTTTGATCAATCTTTGTTGGCATATCTGTGCCTTGTGAAGAAGGCCTTGGTATAGATATTTTGGCCACAATTTGTATGGAACAGATTACCTTTGTCCACCTGTAGAATACAAGATACAAGTTTTGTCATAGTCAGGGCTCGTCAGTTGGATCAATGTGTCATATCTCTGTGTTGACTTTCAAACCGTAACTCAAACACAGCATCAAACATTAAGATAATTCAAGCTCTTTCTAATTGTTGTAACGCGGTGTGTGTGACTGCAGGTTTAGATACGCAGCGTTATATCGATCGCTTCTGTGACAGTGAACACGTAAACATGTAAGGACGACCTAGTGCCCTGATTGGCCCTGCTTCGCTGTCTGTCCCAGCCAATTGAGTCAAGAACACAAATCACTGCCTCTGAGTTATGAATCATTATATTTCAAACATACTTTGTTTATATACTAGTCAAGCAGACCACAACGTACCATAAAATACAAAATAACATTGTACAATATTGGCCAACAGGAAAATAACACGTTAAATAAATATCGACCAATGCAAAATGTACATTTAAGGTCCAAGGACACCATTGGACTTAACATCATAATTATTGGTCTATTTTTCCGACTACCTAACACTAATAATAATATAAACATCGTACCCGTAGCATGAGTGAATGGCTGTCGGCATTCAGTAGAACAATGCGTAATTCGTTGAGCGTCTGAGATAAAAGGTATTGAATCAGAGTCTCTGTGTAAAGATCCACACTAAGATGCAGATAAATCTAACTAACTAGTCCTAAATATGATGAAAACACACATTCTGGATTACAACGCTAGCCACGACCCATTTATTCTACACAATAAAAACAATAATCTTTGTAAAGTAGGATCGTAAGTACAAAAGGAATGCATCTGGAACTTGTGTTTCATCAATTTCAGGATGTACTTTGGATCTTAAGTGTGTTGGTAATAACACTGATTTGAACTTGATAGTTATCAGTGTAAAAATCAATACACAATCTATTAATCTAGTTAGTTATAAACTTCAACAACAAAGAGTAATATAAAATAGAAATGCCTATAATTTTTATCCAAGGAAAAATAATAAAAGAAACTTACCAGTATGAATACTAGCCAAATAAGCTGGTATATGAAATAAAATTTGAATGTATTTTGCAGCAAATGCTAAAAACGCAGCAACAATCGATTGTTCCACAACAGTACTCAATGTTACACCTAACCAGACAGGATTAGTTAGTACACGACGTACGATATGATATGAAGCTGAAATTGAAAAGAAATATGGAGAAAAAAAGACGATTATATTACGAAGCGCAGATGAAACAATTACAACATAGTAAACGGGATATCGAACCCACACAAAAATTATCTCTTGTTATAATGGGATGAATATTGAACAAGTTGTAAGTTTCAAAACTATTCTACGAATTAATAATATCTATACTATCTTATTTATATAATTGGTAGGTAAGTGTATGGTTGCATTTCTACATTACCCTTATTGTAGACCTTCAATTTACCTGTCGACTGTTATTATACGTATTACTAATCCCTAATTATTGCAAATTAATTGTGTACTGTTTACTCCACCCTCTACTACTTATGGTATGATTGCATTCAGAGCATGATTTCTTATTTGATGTGCTATGTTATCAGGCATTTCAAGTATATTATTGTATAGATATTGAGTCTAGTTTACCTGGGTACAATAAAGAAATGATCATCTTCCTATGTGCATCTTCTAATTGGCTACTTGGTGACAAGAGACTAGAGGACCAATAAACGTTAAGGCCTTGATTGTGGTACATTAGTCGGTGTGTAAATTCGTGAACACAGGTCACCGGTCCTACCGACGATATAGCGTGTGATATCGATAAGTATCTCGAGTCATACCAAATCAACAGATCTCAAAACATACCACCTCCAGTTATCATAAAAGATGAAAATCATTGAAACAATTGCGAGTAATATTTTATTTGTTCATCTTGCCGACATTAGTCGAATTCAATTGATTACTTTTGGAATGTGGTCAGTTAGGCTTATGGATTAAACACTACAGTAAACTTTACCTCTGAAGTTAAGAAATTGAAATTTACTGAAAATTTTCATGACTGTCGGCGCCCATTAACAATATGTATATTCAGTATAGATGAAACTGATGATATCGCCTATTGGATTCACACCTACACCATTGAATATTACGCAATCAAAGATGTCATTACCTAGACATTCAAGTGGTCATTGACCTCCTGGTTGATAGATGTCGGTCAGAGCGACGGACTAGACAATACGGTATTAGTCACCACTTAATGACCAAATAATGTAAACATCTGATTCTTATAAGCTGTCAGCCATTATTAGGGTAACACCACACAATGCAGAAAATTAGTTATTCCTCAACATAGTAGGCGTCCCATGTTGGTGGTAAACACCAATCCGCATAAAACTAGGTAAAAGACGTATTGGTTATTAATCCCAACTACTAATAACTTAATGTTTTTTTCCACGACGGGATTTGAATCGACCACTGCATCTCTGTGCTAATGTGGTATGGCAACTCGAACTGATGTACGTACGTACGAAGTTCTACGTTGTTACTGACTGACTGATCACGATAGGCCAGAGTATGTAAAGTGAAATTTTCCATATAAAACAATACATTACTTTTAAGTAAATTGTTTAAGGTGTCACAAACACTTATTATGAAATGCTTCTTTCTGATTTCGTCAGTTGAAAATGTTACGCCACCGAGTACTGAATTTGTTTGTTAAAAGTTTAAACTAACGATAAAAACATTTGAAGCAAGAATAAATCCGATTTGTCCTAGTATTTAGTGCGGATGTGAGTCTTATGCAGAGAAATCTATTTAAATTATAGTAACATGAGATCTGGTGTAAGTACTATATCATAGTTTACATCATGAACTGGTTAATGATAACTAATGATAACTAAACAACTGTTTCGTTCTAGTATGGACCTTCTAAAAAGTGAGTACTCATAACTCTAACAGAGTCTTCCGAACTAACAACGAATTGTACTTGATTTGATCTAAACGTGATGTCTTTGACTATTAGGTTTTGTCTGCAATGGAAAACTTTGACTACTTCGAACTCGAATTTATATCCTGTTGGAAATAAATGTACTACTATCAACGATCTAGCCTCAAGCTTCCTAAGACATTAGGCGTGTTGATTGTATTCCGTTCAGTCTAGTCAATCTCTCTTCCCTATGTAATTTATCCATTAGAAAGGGTTGAAAATTTAGAAAAAACTAGGTTTTTTTTAATTCAAGTAAAGTTTATTCACCGATAAAAATGTTGAGAACGCGTTTAAAGTTGCACGTGCCGAGCTAATGAACACCTACGTTTATCAGCCTGTGTATATCTACCTATCCTGTCTATCTGACTACATTATTTCCAAACAGGTTTACATGTATTAAAGAAATGAAGTGTTTTCTCGTATATATTATTACCACTTATGCCTTCGCATTTCCCCTTGGTAAATATATATTCATGAACGTTTAATTTTTACTAGAATTCGATTAGTTTCGTATATATGTTTGAACATAATAGAACTCTTATTTATAAAGTTTTTAATCTACTCTTTGTTAATATTAAAAAAAAGTGAAATTAACCAATCACGTTTAATGCATCCTGATCGAATTGTCTCAAAGTTGTCATTTGATCAAAAGAAGTCTCAATATGAACATTACCACTATGACGAAGAAATGCTTAGCTGATAAGTGGCGAAAAGGAAGAAACGCACAACCTGTATTCAATTGCTAGTCATTATTCAAATTTACTAATCATAGACCACTTGTTGGAAAAATAATGTGCTTTAAACAGAAAAAAAAATGAAGGAAAGACTAGTGAAGTCTCTAACTCCAACTAAAAAAAGGAATTAGTCAGTAAATATATCATCAAGCTGAACAATCAATCAAAGTCCCCATGTGTTATCAAGATAGGAAACATCAATATATCAACTCGTAAAGTTAAAATACTCCCTAACTAATTAGGGATAACAGTGAAAAGTTGACTATGAAATTAGTTGATTTAGAGAATTCAATGAGAAAAAGTACAATTTTTTTTTTCTTTGAATAATACTTGAGAAATGATTTTATTATGAAGAGGTCATATCGAAAATAAATTAACAGAAAACATTTCATTCCACTTAGTTAGTAATCCCCGTTTTTATATAATCCAACTTTATATTACAATCAAAAGTTTTCACAAAAGAAAAAAACAAACAATGAATCTCAAGGGAATTTATCTGTGATGTTAATCTCAGAAACCTGAACTGTGAACATTGTATTGTTTACGGAAATTTGATGATAAACAAGTTGTTTAGTCAATTGATGGTGTGAAGCTAATTATTACGGTTACCTCTTGTTTATGTCACTATTTTATTCTAATTGCACTAAAATATAAGACTGATAGGATTTTAATCGTTATTCAAGTGTGCTAAGATAAGCCAGTCACCAGGTTAGGAGAGGACAAACTGGAGAGTTATTGAGTAATGGAACTTCAATGTAAGAGTGTGTAAGTTGATCAGTTACACAACTTCATTTAACTCCACATCATTAGTTGGATCGCGTCAGTAGGCTTAATATGTTGATCAGAGTCTAAATCTACATTAGTGAACCCCAAAATACTCAAAAAATCAAAATCTAGAAGACAAACGAAACAAATAAACACACAAACACTATTACGTATGATCACAAACAACAAATTTAATTATTACCTTTTATTTTTGACTTAAGATTAGCTTGGTTTTCACTAAATGAATTATTTAAGGATGTTTTCATGCATTTTCCCAAATTGTCAGATTGATCTCCACAACCAGCTATACCATTATTAACAACTTCGACAGTATTACCGTCAAGAGAATCAAGATGACCACCACCAATATTTGAATGTGAACGAAAGTGTTGATTTGAAGGGCTAACAATTGTCCCATCACCACTAATTACAGCATCCTTGATAGATGGAGACTGTGCATAAAGAGAATTAGGAGTAATGGTAGTGGGAGAATAAGGAGATGTCTTAAGTGAATCAGCATGATTTCGTTTCATTTCAGGCAATCGTTGCTGTTGTTTAAATTCTTCTAGACTTGGATACTGAACACTGCGACTATCCGGTGATAGTGTATTGAGCAAATGATTTGATGTTAATGTTTCAACACCTGCGACAGCAGCAGCTGAAACGGCTGTTGTGGTTGTGCTTAGTGATGGTTGTCCAGATTGTTTGTTTATATTAGGCAAATTATCGGACGATTTTACGTAAGATAAATTCACTTTATTGTTATTTGTATTAAGATTGGAAATATTATGATTATTAGATTGGATTGTAGGGGAACAGATCTATTATACATAGAAAAAAAAACGAAATTGAACACAAGATTAACCTATTCATAGTAAACAACGATAAAATTAATGGTATTACCGTCAAATTATATGTTTATTTGTGTGAATTTCATCGTAAACATGTCAGTATTTATGGCAGTTACTGAGAATATTTGAGGAAAAATTGGTTAGAATAAAAAGATACACAGACGGAACTAAGCTATTGAATAAATATTCGTTCAGTTTCAGGATCTAAAAAAGTCGAGCATCAGTATAAATGATCGGGAAGTCATACATAACGCTCAAACAGAACATCATATGCATGAGATAACTACGTCACTGATCAAATGTGAATAAACTATTTAGAAAAAAAACCAGTAAACTCTAACTTAATCTAAGGTTACATAATGTAATGACCGCAATTGACTTGGAAACTTATCATACACGTGATGATAATGGATTAACAGTTAGTATTAATTATAAACTTACATAAAACTTAAGCTAAAACTGTCTAATAGGCAAATTTAAGATCAAAAAATGATATCGTGAAATTCTGGATCGAGTAATAACGATGAATTTACTGTACTATGCCTTGTATACATACATCATGAATGGCAAACACTATAATAAATGAATCATAAGTGACTCGTAGAATCCTATGATTGATCTTCACATAGGTGAAGGTGTTAAATAAAATTTACCATCAAAAGCTATACACATAACAATTCTATACCAAAGATCATACATAAATCCAACTCTTATTAAAACAACAGTAACATCGTTCAATCAGAGATAATGACAATAATAATAGTAATGACAATAATACCAGAAGATATTTTTCAATATATTACAGGGTTGTGGAGATTATTAAGTTTTCATTGAGATCGCGAAATACCGTGGATTGGTTAAAGTTAGATATTAACATCATCATATCCCGGCCCAGGGGTCTACAGGTTGGATGATCGCGCGTGAGTCTGAAGGTCCTGAGTTCAATTCCCGCGTGTGCCCACTGCTGAGGAATCCAATACTAGGCTAAAATCGCTGTCTAATGCTTCCAGGTTTTCCATGATGATCTGACATTGATCAGTTCATGATCTCAATTATTATATTATTCTCAACAGTTGAGATCATGGGTCAATTGAAGCTAGACCACCAGTGGTCTAGTTGGTTAAGCGCCTAGCGCGAGACTGATAGACCTTGGGCTCGAATCCCGCGAGGCAGGGTCTTGGATGCGCACTGCTGAGGAGTTTCACAATAGGACGAGACGGCCATCCAGTGCTTGCAGGTTTTCCATGGTGGTCTAGCTTCAATTGACTCATAATCTCAACTGTTGAAATTACTACAATCTCCAGTAAAAACCCCTTCTGATACTAATATATTATTTATCAGAATGATATTTAAAATAATCTCAGTGATTGAAATTTATAATAATTTCAATATTTCGTTCAGTAATCTTGTTTAAACTTCTACAAGGTAATAATTAAAATGAAAATTATCAAAGAAATATATAATGTTTAACAATCACATCTACACTAACTACTTATTTAATAATATTTACATACTGACTTTAGTAAGTAGGATAATATGAGTCTATTATAAAATGTGATTAGGTAAACAATGTGAAAAGGAGTGAATGTATGTAACTTATTAAAAGATAAAAGTAAAAGTGCAAATTGAAAATGCCTTTTTTTATTAAAAAAAAAACGTCGACGTGTAGGTAAAATATAAACCATCAAATACATAGTTATGACACTAAAACATTTAAATTACTTTTGTCGGAATAATACTAAATGTGATATAAACAGGGTGGATGGAGATAAGATTCAAATTCTATAATTAATGTATTATATGATTTCTTTATCCTAGCTAAGACCCTAAAGGATGTCACACAACGTATCTAACCACTGGTTGAGATAATTATGTGGACACCAACCACATAATCGACATCTTACTACATGGGTCAGTTCAACAATCAATGACTTTGGGAACCAAAACTACGTTTTTGTTTGGTTACATCCTAATTTCTACACTAGTAAACATCAAGTCTCGAGGAATGCAGTGGTTGGTCAAACATGTCCGAACCTTTTCAGTTGGTGAAGATTCACTACCTCATCATCTGATCTGCCATAGTGCGCTTATGTTCTGGGCACCTAACCTCAACATTTTCCACATGGCTGTCCCACCATTAACGAGCAATGCATCGAAGACAAATATAAGAGCAAATAATAATAACATACTAATATTCCCTACTCAGTAGGGTGGCACAAGTTGATAAATGCCAATTGAGCCCGCTGAATCCGTGACAAGACTTAATCAGACACCAATGCACATGGGTTGACGATACACTTCCAAGAAAAGTAAAGTTATCAACCGACCCGACCTACTGCTTCACTTGCTGTCATTAGTTTAGGAATCGATATAAACCAGTTGTGAAGCGAAATTTAGGAATATTAAGAGTTAGGGTTATAGGCTGTAATTAGGATATGTGGTCACAGAAAGAAAAAACTTCTCAACTACCAAAATACCCATGACTGAGTTTTATGAATCACATCAAGTACGCTCAGATATCATCTCCATTAGGAGGAGGTACTTCTTATAACTTAGTTTATAAATTGTACCACATTCACTGAGTAGTTGCGCTAAAGATACTTCTAACAGTTTTAAGAATTGTAGAAACTAAAGACAGATAATTTCTACTTGATTTTTAAAATAAAGATCCAGACTATTCTTTACTGCGCTTCAAAATTTTCCGGAGAATCTAATAAGCTCTATCTTAAACCTTACTGATTCTCCGAAGGTCATCGATATGGAACAGTTTTCCCCAAAACCGAATAATTATAAATTAAAAGGATGGACAAAACCTACTTTATCCAGATCTTCGGTCTCATCGTTTGGAATTGTATTGCTATCACTTTTTTTAATAACTGCAAGTTGTTTAGGAAAACATATCACAGGTAATGCTACAAAGAAAGTTAATGCAGCGCAGACAAGCATACCAAGCCACCAAGCACCAAGCCATAATGGACTGTTACGGTCTAAGCCAGTTTCAGGCAACATAAATGGTGAATCAATGTAAATACTTAAGAAACCAGCACCAGCAAGAAATCCACAAGCAGGACCTAATCCACCAGCGCTGTAGAATAAAGCTGTGAGATGGTTAATAAAGACAAAAAAAGAAATAACAGAGTTATGAATTATTTAGTGCATTTTACACTAGTTAGTAATGAATGGAATTCGAATTACATAACATTACGCAAATTAACACTAGATGAAAACGTCATTTTGAGCAATTAACTAACTGAATTGTAATACATTTGCACAATATATTTCGAACAATCTGAACACACACATATACTTAAGACATTTTCATATGAAAGGTCAGTTAGACAAATTAAAAGGTAAGCGGAAACAAAGAATAATAAAGTACACCTTTTATGCTTTATATAAAAATGTCTTAGCAAGTATGTGTGATCAAATTGTTCGAAATGTATTACACAAATACATCACATAAATGTGATAACCTTTGTCTTCTCATTGCATTACTGAAATTTATTAAAAGGATTAATTTTATATTCACTTGGTGTTGTTTACTTGTATCTTCCCAAATAGGATGAAACGCGCGTCCTGGATTCCACTGCTAGCCACTATCCATCTTTGCTTATAAAGCTTGTGACTTCAGACAATATCGAGGCAGTCCGGACAGGATGCACAAATGCCAACATGAGACTGATCAATTGCAGTCCTAAACATCAATGGGAAGATTCAAGTAAACAATATCAAGTGAATATAACTTTACCCCATTGCACAGACAAGTGGCTATCAGGACTCAGTAGCTAAGTAGATAACGTGATGGTGTTTGAAGCGAACGGTACTGGGTTCGAGTCCCAAAGTGATCATCAACTCTGAGATGCAAGTACATCCAGCTGACAAGTCCCAAATTGGACGAAACGTAGTCCTGGATTCCACCGCTAGCCACTATCCATCTTTGCTCATAAAATAAGTGAATTGTGCTACACAAAAGGTTAACATCAGTAACATCAGATCCAGATTATTTCACACCAAATCTAGTCTTAAATCAAGGCACTATAGTGGTTCAATATGCTTTATTTTATGAGTGAAAAACGACAACAATAAGGTGAAAGTATAATTGATGAACCACTACTACTAAAATTGAGTAAACGTCATTTATGTTTTGGCGTTAAATTGAAAAGTGAATGAATTTTATTTTATAACACGTAAAGCGAAAGGCAGAAAATGAAAACTTATTTTCTAATAGTAGTATTAAACACACCAAGCACTTCTTCATATGGACAAATTTATATATTGTTATTTCTTCAATTTACCAATATCAAAACATGTACAAGACTTCAGTACACTTATTGATTATGCAAAATCGATTTATTCTTGGCAAAGTTACTTTATAATCAAAAAGGGGTTTTGTGGATAATATAGTAATTTAATAGTAGAATTCATGAGTCAATGAAAGCTAGACTACCATAGAATTTCGTAGATTGGTTGATGTTAGACATTAACATCGTCGAATGTAGGCTCAGTGGTCTAGGGGTTAAGTGTTCGCGCACGAGACCGATAGGTCCTGGGTTATAATCCCCAGTGTGGGATCGTGGATGCACAATGCTGAGGAGTCCTATACTACGACAAAACGGCCATCCAGTGCTTCCAGGTTTTCCATGATGGTCTAGCTTTCATTGACTCATGAATTCAACTATTAAAATTACTTTATGTGCATATTCGTTAATACTTTGACAGAAACAGTGTATTAAAGATAAAAAAAACATTATATATAAAGAATTATATTTGAAATAATCTGTGATTGAAATTTAAATAATTCCAACATTTCGTCAAGCAACCTTATCTGGACTTCCTCAGGATATTAATCAAAATTATCAAAGAATACATAACATTTTAACAAACAAATCTGCATTAACAGCTTATCATTCGTGATTTACACTGTATACAAAAAGTTTCAACTCCTGTAGATTCCTATGAGCTACCAAAATTCACAAGAATAATATACCATAAAGATTAGGATTAATATTAAAAAAGTAAATATTAATCGAGGTTAAGATAATACTGACAATTATGAAAAGTACACAGTAAGCGACAAGTTGATAAATTGCAAACTTATATGAGAGTTTGTATCTCTATGAAGTAAGTTCATTTCGTAGACACGGAAGCACACATACTTACAAACAGACATTAGAGTTGGAAAAAAAGATGAAATGCAAAAAACCAGCCTTTACAAGTTGTGTTTATTCTATAAAATAGCTCAGTGACTAAATACACATTGTTTACTTAATCATGAGTCACATTTTTTGTGCTCTTGCTTAGAAATAATATAAAATAAATCGACGCAAAACTATTGTTTAACTTTGAAATTAATTAATAAAATTTGCGACTTAAATAATTCAGTAGCACATTATCAGGATGTTAAATCGATCGGAACCCCAACAGGTAGCATCATTTCCTTTGAGATTATGAATGAGTGTTGGTAAAGACAGTTATCTAGCACAAAGTCTAGGTTCAGAATCTCCTATCTCCTTAAGTTATGTAACCTCTTAAAAAGTGCTGAAAACACATCGTCACCAAGTTAACCAGAATTGTAGGCAATATATAAATAAAAATGGATGAAAATCATACTAGCACAAATCAGTTGAAGACAAAAATATGAACCAGGAACTTCTGATGCAGAGCTGTGATACAATACCTGAAGATAGTTGATAAGTATTGTTGAGGAGTTCTAGCCAGTCAGTCATATGCGACGTAGAACTTGTCACATACATTTGTGTTCAAGATGCCACACCAAATTAGAATAGATAATAAGTTACACACAAGAAAACAACTATTTAGCGCTTTCTAATGTTACAGCTAATATTAGATTGGGTCGAAATATTTCTCTCAAAATTATAACAAACAGATAGAAATTTAATGAACTTACTAATTTATAATTTAATCAGAGTAATTCCATAAACGAATTAAGTATTCTTAAGTGTTGATTGGTTGAACAAAATATCATAAGCCTTGAGATTATTTAAAACAATCAGTGATATTTATGAGAAACACATAAGTCTTCAGACATGATACAAACAAAACTCATGTTCTGTATCAGTGAACAATATCTCCATTAAAAACGTCCGTCTAATACAGCCCGTTTTTCCTTCCTTCTGTGAGCTGACAGAAGACTTGATTGACTGGTCAATAAAATTTTTGGTCATTACTACTAGAATTCATCTGCCATCTGTACATGACATATGTATATAAGAAAACATACAGGAAAGAAACTAGTGTTCAAGTCCAAGAGTGAACATCAACTCTGAGATGCAAGTACATCCAGCTGACCAGTCCCAGACAGGATGAAACGTGCGTCAAATTGAACTCCACTGCTAGCCACTATCTATCTTTGCTTGTAATAATCTGAGTTTAATTTCAAATCAGAAAGTTTCTTAGTACTCTGTTCAACTTTTGTTTCTTATTGCCATCTAAGAGTCTGAGAAAATAAAATTTTTCCTTTATAATTATCAATAGTTAACACCTTATAGTCAACCTGTAAAAGAAATCCAACGCAAATCAATCCAGTATAAATGATTTTTTTATAAATAGAATCGAAATAGAACACATCATCATCACTGGATAGAACTTTCACGACATTATAATCCGTTGAACATAAATTTAAAACTGATTACAACATAATGAGGTTAACCAACACATTTGAAATCTGTTGACCGAAGGATAATCATTGAAGGTTTAAAGTCAATAAGAACCAATCAACATCGAGGTCTACAAGACAAGCTGTGAAAGACATGTGGAGAAATTCGAACACCTCATTTCTACCTGACGTTCGAGCTGATGATCTCTTTCAGAAGAACGAGAACCATCCATCTCAGAGAATAAAACTCCACCAAAATTGATCATTCAACATTTGTCTTTTTTTGCTATTACATCCCCTTTTCTACATCTTCTTCATTTTAAAAAACGTATCTCTAATATTATTAGGTTGATTTCTAACGTTTAAACAAAAAAAAAACAGTGTATATGTTGTTTATAAAAATTAGTGATTCCTTGTTTCTTAATATTCATGACTGGATATCTTAAGCAGTCTCCATTGGTATATTATGCATAAATGAATAAATTAGTGAGTATCTGGACACTCAGTTGCCCATTAATGTTTAAAGTGGTAGGTGAACTGTTTGAGTTTTACAGTGAACAAGAACAAACTAGGATGTACGTACGTCCAGCCGATGAGTCCCGAACACGACAAAAGGCGCATCTTGAATCCCACTGACAGTCGAAATTCAGAATAATGCAATCCAAGGTGAAAAATGGCATTTTTTCTACATACATACATCATGATGCATCTATACACATAAATCCGTACGCTCGACACAACTCATCTTAAACTGAAGGTAAACACATATCATGTGTAACTTAGTAAAAACAACCAATTTAAGAATCACATCAAATTAATTTAATTGAATGTTTTCCAAAAAGAGAGAAACTATTTAAAAATGCATTTTTAAGAACACAAAAATAACTTTGAATTAAGGCATGAAATATACCGAATGCAATCATAATTACAATCATTCAAACATAAATCGCATATTTAAGTAGCTACATGTATTCTCATGCAAAAATAATTCATTCACTAATTTATAAAAACCATGTGACACCGTTATGCATTACAGTAAATTATCAAAATTTAAGCGTCACACGTATGAGTTGATATGTAATAAACAATTTTACCTATGTAAAATTGGTTACCATATTTTTGATGCTACGTGGTTAAAGAAAGCCGGGAGGAAGGTATAGGGCTACGCTCTGGGTAAGTTATAACCTATCAGGAAGAGGTATCTGTAATCCTGAAGTAACTGATGTACCCCGTTAATTGGACCTGACATTATCGTCAAGTGACGCAATTGACGACGTTACCACAGAAGTAATCAGGCTGTAATTGACATTTTCAAGACTATAATATTTACAAAAATTTCCGACCTTGTAACAATTTAATATCGTATTGTTAAGAGTTCTTAATGCTGATTGATTTGCATCAATCAGTTTACAATGCAGCCACTAGTTTAAGGGAGTGGACTTTATTCAATATCAGATAGGTTAGATGTAATTGACAGAAAAG